GGTCCTGGTTCCCCCGGGACTCCAACCCAGAACCCTCTGGTCCTGGTTCCCCCGGGACTCCAACCTAAATACCTAAATACCACCAATGCTTAGCTCATAACTATGAACTGCAAACTAGAAACATGACAAAACACAAGTCTCCCGTCATGCAGAGTCTGATGTCTGATGTCACTGATCAGAGATTGTGATCTGGAGAAAGTCGTGGCTTTTAGCTAAATCACCTCACTAACATCAGCCCAGAACAAAACCCAAAGGTCAAAGGTCCCTCTGACCTACGCTCACCTGTGCTCTGATCTGAGAAAGAGATCCATAGTAGGAATCTGAGTAGACACAGACACAAACACACAGAAACACACAACCAGTAACACACACACACAGACACACACACACAGACACACACTCACTGACATCCACAGACACACCCAGACAAACACAGACAGACACACACACTGACACACACAAACAGACACCCAGACTGAAACACACTGACACACACTAACACACACAGACACTGACACACACTGACACATATACACATAGACACTGACAAACACACAAACAATCACACAAAGACACACACACTCTTATACCCACACATGACAGCTGACAGCAGCTTTTCTTATGGATGTAGAATTATTCTAAACTCATTTAAACAAGGACAACATGTCAGTACTTCTGCCTGACAGAGTCAGGAAGCAGGCCCAGAGGGCCCAGCTCCTCAGAACCTCCAGGCCCGGTTCTGGTTCTGGGTCTCTACCAGCTCTGGTCCAAACCAGAAAGAGTCCACCCAGACTACAGATCCGTCTCCATTTTGGACGCATCTTTTTTTCCAACCGGCGGCCGTTAGGCTCGGAGTGGCTCTTCCATCCGTCCGGTACCAACAGAGGTCCCGTAACCGGAGGAAGTCAGCGGGAGACCAGCAGATCCAGACCGGTAAAAGCCCAGCCAAAGCGGGCTGAGTCCTCTGAGCGTCTCCCTCTCGCCGGGAGCAGGAATTCGTCCCCCGGGGACACATTTCTGCTCTGAGCGTGGAGCAACACGCCCAGCGGCCGCTCTCCACCCACGGGCCCACGAGCGACTCCCACAACACGCACGGCACGCGCGCACACGTCCGCGTGCCCCACTAAACCTGGACACGAAGACCGAGCGCGACGCCTCCGCGTGGGCCTGGAAGTTTAAGCGTGTTCGTGCGTGTGCGCGCGCCTCCGTGCGTGATCCGGGATGGGGGGGGGTTGCTGTCTATGTGGCGTGCGTTGTGAGGAGCCGTTTCCTCTTTGTGTGCTCCGGTGTGGAGCCCCGTGCCCGCGCACGCGCGCGCAGGCGGCCTGCGCCGTCTGGAGCCGCTACGCGCGCCCCCGCGCGCCTCCCCGCGCGCCCACAGGGCACCAACAAACTTTTCAAAGTTCCAAACCCCCGGCCTGACCTGTGCGGCTCGATCCGGTCCCGTCGGCGGCTCCTGGAGCGTAGAAGTCCGGGTCGCTGTGCTCCGTCCGGGCTGGTTTCCCCTCGAGAAGCGTCAGTTTCGACGGGGGGAAAGGCCAGAAAGCACTTTTTGTCCGCTCCCCTCCCTATCCGCTCTGAGGAGTGGAGCTGCTGCTGAAACTCCACCCTGCGGGGCGCGTTGACGTACGCTGGGGTGGAGGCGCCCTCCCCGGACCAGCGGGGCTTTTCCCCCGGAATAAACGGCGTCCAGGCGCGCGAGGACACAAACCAAAGACAACTATCAAAGTCCCGTTCTCTGTTCTCACGTTCACTTTGGAGCGCGAGGCTCACGTGGCATTTGTCCCGCCTGCACGCAGGCTGAGGGAAGGTCCGGGCCAGAGGGCAGAACAGCCCCGGGACGGGGCTCAGGGGGGCTCCGGGGTAACCGGCTCTTAACCTGACTCCAGTTTAGGGAGCCTGGCCTATCCACTAAATGGATTTAGTTTTGTCCTTATAGGGAAACGCAGTGTGTTGCGACACCTTTCCTCTCTTCCTGTTTCATTTATGGCCCAGGAAGCTGCTGGTTGAGGCCCCGGTTCCCGACCAAACCCCCCCCAGATCTCCAGATGAGACGGGAAACGTGGCCCATCTTTTATTGATGGAGCTCTTTATTGGGATTTGTGTTTTCGCCCAGGTTCTGCTTTTGGGTGTTTCTGTTTCTGGTGTTGCTTCCTGGACTTCCTGGTAGTTGCTGGGGCTGCTTTTTGATTGGTCTGCCCCCCCCCCCCCCAGCCCCCTGCTGTGCTGTCATGAGCCGGTTGGCCTTTGACACACAAAGTGTTCCAGAGGTCACTGCGGTTCCCCTCCCGGCCACCGGGGGGCGCCACTGCCCCGGGCAGGGCCAGACCCGTCTCTGGGTCTCAGAGCAGCTCCAGCTTCTCCTCTCTGGTGGAGCTTCTGGTTAAAGCTGCTCAGGTGAGTCCAGCCTTAGTTCTGCTGCCAGAGGCCCAGACTGCCGGGGATTTCCCATCATGCACCTCTCCCCTCTCCTTTCTCTCTCTCCCTTTAATGATGTCACTAACTGGACTTCCTCTCTTTCCCATAATCTTCCCTCTCTCTTTCCATCCCTCCCTCTATCCCAACCTCTCTCTGTCTCCCTCCATCCCTCCCTCTCTCTCTCAACTGTTGTTGGGATTTGGAGCTGTAAAATAAAACTGAATTGAATTCTTCCCCCCAAAGTCTGGTCACACTGTTGAACTTTCCCCCTTAAAGATCCTGACTGAGTTTCCTGGTTTGACCTTAAAATGATAATGAAAAAGAAATGAACTGAAATTAAACCAGCTGATCTGAGGCACAACTCCACTAAAACCTTTTTACTTTACAGCATTTGGATATATTGGGACTACAAGCCCATTTTTAATTTTTGTTTCGGAACAAGTTTAGTATTATTAAAAGCCAGGACCCGGGAGGAGGCCCAGAAGAAGACCCAGGACCCGATAGGAGACCCACAGGGAGACCCAGGACCCGGGAGTTAAAGTTCTTTGACGGGACATTAGTGAAAACAGGGATTTGTCATTTAACCACACAGGCCGGGGAAATGTTAAATTTACCTTTATTCTTCCTCTACATGATTTACAGATGTGTGATCCACTGAGGCTGACGGGACATCATCACATTCATATCCACACAACAGAAACACTCTCGGTTTGAGTTCTCCTGGAGCCGGACCCCCAGAACCCCCCCACTGTACAACTTTACAGATTCGATCTGTACATTATTGGATTGTATTTACAGCTTGAAAACTTGAAAAGGTGCTGATTGTAAGGCTTCTCCAGGAGGAAGTCAGCACTACCTGGAGCCCCCCCACCTCCACCTCCACCCCCAAGCCAGAGACGGCAAAAACGAGCCCCAGCCGCCCTCCTCTGATGGAGGCAGAGAGGCGCTAAGAGTCAGTCTACGCCTCACTGGCGTTTCCTCTTTAGCTGCAAATGCTGGGAGCAAAAAGAGGAGTAGAAACTAGAGACAGACGAGAGAGGAACTGAAAGACCTCAGAGAAACTACTTTGGCTAGACTGTGTTAGTTGTACAAAACATGGAAATGATATCTGCCCGGCTAATTGAAGCCAGGCCCCGTGGTGGTGGGGGAACCACGAGAACAGTGCACGGTCTCCGAGCAGAGCCCCAGCGTCCTCCCACAGGCTGCCTCACTCCACTTCCTGTTAGCTGTTGTTAACTGTGTGGAGCTGTTGTTAACCGTTTTTAGCTGTTTCTTAGCCGTTGTTAGCTATTTGTTAGCTGTGTGGAGCTCTTGTTAGCTGTTAGTTTTGTGGAGCTGTTGTTAACTGTTTGGAGCTGTTGTTAGCTGTTAGTTTTGTGGAGCTGTTGTTAACAGTTTGGAGCTGTTGTTAGATGTTAGCCGTGTGGAACTGTTGTTAGCTGTTTGTTAACCGTTGTTAGCTGTTAGCTGTGTGGAGCTGTTGTTAGCTGCCCAACAAGCTTCCTCACTTCCTCCAGCATGGTGAATGTGCCCCAGCTCATTTGAATAAACAGCCAGAAAATACTTGCGGCAGTAAAGCACTGGTCTCCGGCTCACATTCATAACAAACATAATCAGAGTACTCATAAAGTTATCTACAGGAACCAGCTCAGCTGGACAGCACTCAGCCTGCAAACACGTCCTGTTCAGATGCAACCGGGCACGAGCAGCCTGATCCAGTTCTGTGGTCAGAGGATCTGCTGGAACATGGAGGCTATGGATAACTGGGGGGGGAAACCAGCTCTGTGGACTTCCTCTGTGCTGATGAAGAAGAGGCCCGGAGCACATGAGGTGGAGCCCATTTCCTCTCAGTGGTCAGCAGCAGTGAGTCTCTGTGGTCCTCCCAGATGCAACAGTCAGGGTCAAAGGTCATGTACATTCATTTGTAAGCTCAGAGATAAAGCTTGGCTAACATGGCGGTTCTACTCTGACAGCAGGGGCTGATGGGACGGGGCTGAGCTCCCTGGCTCCGGCCGAGCCCCCCAGTCTGGGAGTCTTTGTTCCTCGGCCTGTGGCGGGTCAGTTGCTGGTGGTGGCTTCAGGGCCCGTGGTGCCGGTGGGGATGCGAGGCATCTTCTTGGCAGGGCTGGGGATGTGCTGAGGGAGGGGGGGGGGACAACAAAACGTCAGATAGGCTGTTCACTCAGATGGGGAATGCAAAGCTATCGGCTGCTAGCTTACAGAGGGCTAACACTTTAGGGACCATGGTGAATGAAACCTAGTCTAAAGAGCTTTGGGTGGTCAGTTTGACTGGAAAAACACTTTATAAGAGCATGTAGGAGCTTCAACGTTTGATGAAAACGTGCGATTATTGTGGACTATTTTGAGATTATGATATAAATGAAGGGTGTCATGAGTCTGGGGGTTTGAAAACCAAGGACAACACAGAGAATTACAATCATTTTGTGTATTTTTCAACTGAAAACATACAAACATGACACGTGTGTGTGTGTGTGTGTGTGTGTGTGTGTGTGTGTGTGTGTGTCCCACCTCGGCTGCTGTGCTGGAGCGCACCAGCTCTGGCTCTGCGGACAGGTCGTCATCCAGAGGTCTGCGGCCGTACTCCCGCCGGTGTTTGTCGTCCACCCGTGTCAGGTACCAGGTCCCCGGGAACAGATCCTCCACGGAGCTCTGGGGGACGTAGCTGGCTGGAGGACGGGGAGTAAAACACAAAGGCATCAACCCAACTGACAGGAGAAAACTCAGATCCAGATCTAGTTATTTAAAGAAAATCTCAGATCTGTGTTTTCCACCACACCACTTAAAATAATAAATAATCCATTCCACTTTGCTGTGTTGGTCCCTAATATCCAGTCTCCAGCCTTAAGCATTAGCATTAGCATCTCCTAGCCCACAGGTCTGTGTCCTAACCATTAAGTTATTATCAGAGTAAATCCCTGTTCAACATGAATCTGACAACTAAGTAAGTAGATAAATAACTTTAGACTTTAAAGACGGCCATGTTAATGTGAAGCTATCAGTAAAAATGTCAGTTGTGTGGGATTATTTTATCCTTAAGGACAAAAAAGACCTAAAGGTGGAGCGTTTTTAAAAAGAGTATAAAATATTATTTTCACTTATTTTTTTAAGCCTTGGTTCACACTGGTTTAAGAGAACTGATGATGAGTTAATAGACTATTTTCTATTCAGGTTGTTTGTGTTTTTTGCCTTTTTAACACAGTTTACAATATTATTGTCATTTTTTACTGTTTACTGATGCCAGTTAGTTATCTATAATTTGGTCTATTTAGTGTTTCTCCCTCAATAAACAGGTCAGTGTCTCTTTGTGTTATTCAGACTCCCCTAATTCAGCTAGTTGTTATCAGAGTAAATCCCCAGCTTTCCAGTTTGTCTGCCACTCTTTTTCTCTCAGGTTAAAGTTAAGTTTAAAGGGCACATTGAAGGTGGAAAAACAAAAGGACACTGGTCCTCTCAGAACACAAATCCTCACATATGTGTGTGAATATATGTCTATATTTTTATTTAAACTCCCAGCCCGCCCTGGCCTAAGCTGCTATAGAGCGTTACCTAAGTGGTGGGTCTCCTCTCTCAGCTTCATGCTTTCAGAGAAAAGCGCGGGTGGGACTTTCTTTCTTGAATCCAACCTGGACTTCAGGTCACTCAGGCTGGAAACTAGTTTGTCCAGAGCAGAACCTGAAACCAACAGACAGTCACACAGGGTCAGTCCTGTCTCCAGCTTTCTGCTGACTAACCCCTCTGCCCCCCCCAACAGCTCCACTCACCAGGGGTGTAATCTTGGGTGACTCGGAGAGAATACAGAGTGGCAGCAAAGCCTGAGCCGTAGGAGAACACCCCGATCCTCTGCCCCGCCAGCTGGGAGGACGTGTGGCTGCAGCACAACAGAACGAGGCTCTTTAGCTCCCGCGCATCAGGGAGAGCAGGGGCCTGAGTTCCAGAGCCCCAGAGCCCCAGATCTCCAGATCTCCAGACCTCCAGAGTTAGAGCTCCAGACCTCCAGAGCCCCAGATCTCCAGACCTCCAGAGCCCCAGAACTCCAGAGCTCCAGAGTTAGAGCTCCAGACCTCCAGAGCCCCAGAACTCCAGAGCCCCAGAGTTAGAGCTCCAGACCTCCAGAGTTAGAGCCCCAGAGCTCCAGAGTTAGAGCTCCAGAGCTCCAGAACATAGCTGTGCAGCGAGTGTGTGAAGGTAGAGAAACCGGAGTGGGACGTACTCAGCAAAAAGTGAAGCCAGGCAGCCGTAGACGGAGGGCGTGTACATGTTCCCGTTCTGGTTGGAGATCAGCAGGGAGGGCTTGGTCTTCCTCTCAAACAGGTCTGCACTGGCCTTCATGAAGGCCTTCTCCACGTCCCTGTCAAAGTAACTCTCTTCTGGCTTCACATCCCTGCCAACACACACAAAGAGCCCCACAATTAAGTCTGATGCTAAGTGTGTTAGCGTTAGCTGGCAGCTAACCAGTTCTCCGGTTCTCCCATGTGGATGCTCCAGTTGGAAATGTTTGGGTTTGTTTTTTATCCATCCATCCATTATCCTAACCTCTGGAGCCTATCCCAGTAGCCAATGGGGAGAGGCGGGGTCACTCTGGGTGGTCCCCAGTCCATCACAGAGACACACAAGGACCAACAACCACACACACTCACACTAAGGGCAGTTTGGAGTCCAACAACCTAACATGCAGGTTTTTGGACGGTGGGAGGAAGCTGGAGAACCCGGAGAGAACCCACAGACACAGGAGAACATGCAGAACCACCCAGAAAGGTCCTGGTTCCCCCGGGACTCCAACCCAGAACCCTCTGGCTACACACCTGAAGGCGTCCAGCCCTGTGAAGGCCCCCGTCTCCGTGTTGGGGCTGGGGTGGTTCAGGAAGTCGTTCAGCATCAGTCTGGCCAGGGACTTCTGCACGAGCTTGCAGTAGGGGGAGTGGAAGACCAAAAAGCCAAAGTCCTCCAGGCTGAAGAGCTTCTCTGAGCCCTCTGTGAGAAAAGAGTGGAACCATGTCTTACATAGGGACGTCCAGATCCAGCTTTCTGATACTGATCCCAGCCATACCGATCTACTGAAATCTAAAGTTATTTATCTACTTACTTAGTTGTCAGACTCATGTTGAACAGGGATTTACTCTGATAACAACTAGCCAGCTGAATTAGGGGAGTTTGAATAATAATAATAATAATTTATTCAGGGATAAACACAAAATAGCATAAAATAATCGCACAAAAACGACATTTTTACCGATAGCTTCAGATTAACATGGCCGTCTTAATGGTCTGTGTCTTAATGGACACAGACCTGTGGGCTAGGAGATGCTAATGCTAACGCTTAAGGCTTTGCTGGAAAATGACCAGCTAGGATATCAGGGAACAACACAGCAAAGTGGAATGGATTATTTTAAATCGGTGTGCTGGAAAACGCTGAATCTGAATCTTTTATAAATGGATAATTTTTTTGCTAATATCAGCGGCCGATCGGATCCAGATATCGGATCGAGACAAGCCTAGTCTTACATTCAGATGTTTGGGGATTTTCTGCAGATCTTTTAGCGTTTTGGTAGTTAAGGGGAAATAAATGGAGCACAGCTTGGGAATGGAAACTGAAAAGCATCAGAACGGCTCAGGTAAAACCGGGTCTTTAAGGTCTACGTGGACCCACCTCTCTGCCATTGTGCGTGGATCTTGTTTCGATACACAGAGTAGCAGCGGTCCAAAGCACTGAGGTAGCACTCTATGGACAGCTTTCCATCCACCACGGGGTACTCCGACACCATGTCTGGCTTGTAGAAGTCATACGCATGCTGCATGTGGGTTCCCCGAAGACCTGCATGGTTCACAAGAGTCAAAAACAGCCTTAAAGCTCCCCAAAAACAGCTTTAAAAGGCCCCCCAAAACAGCTTTAAAGCCCCCCAAATAAAGTTAAAAAAACACAAAAAACAGCTTTAAAAGGCCCAAAAACAGTTTAAAAACCACCAAAACCAGATTTAAAAGCCCCCCAAACAGCTTTAAAAGCATCAAAACAGCTTTAAAGCCCCCCAAATAAAGTTATAAAACCACAAAAAACAGATTTAAAAGGCATCAAAAACAACTTTAAAGCCCCAAAAAACAGCTTTAAAAGCCCCAAAAACAGTTTAAAAACCACCAAAACCAGTTTTCAAAGCCCCCCAAACAGGATTTTCCTCTAAAGAACTTATGGTCATATTGATGATAGCTGTAAAACTGTGTCTACTTTGCAAGTCGCTTTGGATAAAAGCTTCTAAATGCAGAAACATAACCCCGGTTAGTGAACTGACCTCGCTCAAAGGCCAGAGGAGCGTTGGGCCCCACCAGCAGGGCCACGGCGCCTGCCCCCCCCGTGGGCCGGGCACTTCCTGTGGCATAGACGGCAATGTCCCCAGCTACCACCAGCGCATAGCGGCCTGCAGAGGACAGGGGGGGGGGAAACACACGAGTTACACATGTCTGATTAGACTTTTTTTTTTTTTTTAAATCCCCACTGCTATTTTTCCCACTAATATAAATGTGTTTAAATCCACGTGAAGATGAGTCCAACAGACTGTAGTAAACAACTGGGCCCTGTTTCATTCACAACACCTGTCCCACCAACCAGGAACCAGAACCAGATGTTTACAGTAGAAACAGGAAGATATCAACCTGTGGATTACCTGAGGATCTTAGTACTGAATGCCCAATAACAAGGGACATCTACACACTATAGGACCAGTTTGATACAACACTATTTCAGACAAGATATAGAATCAGGGGGTCCCCTGTTTTAAGAAGTTTTCTGGTTAAATAAATCAAAATGCTTATAGTTTCTGTCTCTTACTATTTCTGGGCTTCTGTCATGTGACTGAGGCCAGCTGATTACAAACACAAATTTCTGCTTTGTATTTTACAAGATTTTGACCACGTCTGATAACTACAAAGACTCATTTCCCTAATTTTCCTCTGTGTACAGACTCTCAGGTCCAGTGATGTAATCTTCTCTGGAGATGTAGTCCATCTATTAATTCATTCTGTTAATAACTGCATTGGGGAATGGTCATTTAGAGGGAATATACTGAAGCAGAGTATTTTAATTGGCCACTTTAACTGGATCTTTAATGTTGAATGAAGAATTCTGCACATGTTAGTTAACATGTCGACCATCACTGTTTTTTCCTGCCAGCAGAAATAACATTTATAATGAAAACCTGCAGCAGCTACTTTGGAAAATACACTGCAACATGACTGTTTCTATTCATTTTCATTTTACAATTTGCATGTTTCTATTTGGGTGCGTGTGGGTGCACTGAACCAAACCCTGATCAACACTTCAGGCTTTCAGCAGCCGGTATCAAAACGACAGTTTCTGAAACTACCGTAATTTGAATCAGACTTTTCTGACATTTGACAAACAAAAACGCAATTCATGGCCAGGGATATTTTTAAAAAAATGTATTAAAAATACTTTTATAAATTTCTAAAGAATATTTGGGGAAATGATTTTGACTTTTTTTCATTTGACTATTATGTGTATTTGGATTTTAAGTTAATTATTTTGAGGCCTAGTCCAGACAGGTTCATGTTAGCTGACCAAATCTGCGTTGTTCTAGTGTTATTGTGAAGTTTAATGAGAAGAACTGAGACCCTGGTTGCATGTACTGAAATGCATATGACAATAAACTAGTGAATCTCAATCTATCTATTTATACGTATTTACTCTATTTTAAACAGGCCTAAAGGCTCATAGGTCTTTTGTCCAAAAACAAAAACATTTTTCACAGCACCCCCTGTTCAAAATCGAAAAGGGAAAAAGAAAAAGAGAAACCCCAGCCTGAGCCTCACCGTCCCAGGAGCTGGACTCCACCCAGTTGACGGCGTTGAAGAGCGCGGCGGTTCCACCGTAGCAGGCGTTGGTGGTGTCAATGCCCTCCACATCTGTATTCCCGGAATCCTCAAACAGCTGCATCAGGACAGTCTTGACGGACTTTGACTTGTCGATAATGGTCTCCGTGCCCACCTCCAGCCGGCCGATGCTGTCGTAGGACAGGGCGTTTCTCTCCATCAGCCTCTGCACCACCGTCAGGCACAGGGAGTTGATGTCCTCCCGGTCGGAGCAGAAACCCATGCGAGCCTGGCCCAGGCCCACCGTGTATTTACCCGCCGACACGCCGTCAAACTGCTCCAGCTCAGCCTGCTCCACATACTGGGACGGGAAGTACAGTTCCATGGCAATGATACCCACATCTTTGGGCCATGGTCCCAAACAGCTAATTGGAGCTGAGCCAGGCATCCTGAGAAAGGAGGAGAAAGAAAGGATCTTATGTTGGGGCGTTTTAATACAGCTGTAATACAGAATGTAAGAAGACCAATGTTATTGCAAAATGTCAGCTGGCAGGTAATTGTAATACACTCGTGTGGACTCTTAATCAGCTCATCAAAACAGTAATAACACTCATAGAATTAATAGCTATTGTCAAACAACAGCCAAATCTAACATTTGAGCTAACTGGTCAGGAGATCGAAGTTCATCATCCTCTGAAGAAAACTAGCTAATCCTGTCAGCCAACCTGGTTGATAGGTTATCAGAGCATTGTTCTACGTGATATCGTGTGTTAGAGGGACAAACACGCTACTGTTTTCATTCCTGAGCTCACTTTGCTGGTTTAATAAATGCTACAACACTAACGTGAGCTCAGTCATCTGCAGGGCTGCTAGGAGGGGTGGGACCTAGCATATAAGCTAGGAATGTATGTTAAGACATCATTCCTGTTTAATTTACGCTACATCGACAATAACCAGGTCAAAATAAGGCTAGTAAGTCGTGTCGTTACTGGCAACCAAAACACCACAGCTTAAGAAACCATTGACAGAGGGCTCGAAAAAAGACGTTCTCTGAACTAAGTTAGCTTAACATGGTGTTTGTTCAGTCTGAACTTTAACTGGTGAATGATTAACCTGTCACACTGCTTATTACATAGTTCTAAAACACAGATAGGTTTGGGGTTTTGGAGATGTGGGCAGGCAGCGGAGGATAGCGTAAAACAAACTGGGTGAAAGGTTAACGGGATTTCCCGGAACTTAAGCAGTTTACCATCGGTAACGGAAGGTCACACTGACGGGTCACTTAGAGAGAAAACTACCGGTCAGCAAAACAAAGCACAGCATATAGTACCAGAGTTCTTTTTTAAAAATACGTCAATTGTTTATGTCCAGATTCTGGCTTTTACAGCCAATTTCTCATTTAAAGGACTACAAATCTGTTATCAAACGATGTGCCACCCGGAGTACATTCGCGGACGGACCCGCTCATCTAAAACTATCCTCCCCGTGGCTCCGACACGTTGTCCGGCCCCTAAACAGCTGTTACACACGTGAATAAACACAAAATAAGAGCTGTCTGACCACGAGTGAGTAGCAGATAAATAAAGGAGAACACAAACCTGAATTATTTTTCTAACAGGATGCAGCCGTGGGGTATAAATGAAGCTTCTCACCTGCGTTGTAGGCAGTCTAGTGAAAGGTGGTGTGTCTCCAAAAAGTCAGTTTGCGGCCGAGCTCTCTGCTCTCGAGGCAGATATATTTATATTTGGGATGACAGGGCACCATACCCTTAGCACGGACGTACCTGTCGTCTTGTCCAATCACAGCTCACAAACACCATACGGCGCTACGAAGCCCCACAAGCTTCCGGCCAATCGAAGAGAAGGAAAGACAAACACGGGCCACAGCCGCACGGCTTGGCCAATCAGGAGGCGTGTACGATGTCTGGTGAGAGACGGGGAGCCAATCAGAGTGTCGCAGTGATTCATGGTGCCGTTGGTGGGCCGCGCATGCGCAGCTTCTCCGGGACATCCATGTCAACAGGTGAACGGGAGCTAACCTGCGGTCCGGGACAGAACTATTAGAACCGCTTTATCCCGCTAAAAACAGTGTGTAATAACTGGGATAATTCAATACATTATACCATCTAAACTTTACCCTCAATTACAACTTAATACGATGATTAAAAGTTTACATTTTCAGAGTAATCGGACGTTATCAATGGATGAATTTGAAAAGAAAAACATTTAAAAAGATCACTTAAAGGCAGTAAGATCCAGTTTCATAGTCATGATAATAAGGTGATATAAATAAATGTGTAAACAGCATCCTGATGAGGTGTCAGGTAAGAAGATTAAATGTACATCAAGTCAGATGCTGCTTATTCATTAATCCCTTATATGTAAATCAAAGAGGTCAATTTTTCAACCTTATAGCTGGAATCTGTTTTAGTTTGCAAAGGCGTCCTCAGTTTCAGTCAGATTGAACAGATTTCAAAAGAGGAGATTGAAAACTGATTTTAGAGCTTTAAAATAATAATTTAGAGGTAACTTAAGTTATCCAAACATTAGGTCGGTTCTTTATTTTGGAATAAAACATGTTTCTCAGCTGTCTAACTGCCCTCTGACCCCTGACGGACTACTTCTTATGACAGGTTCCAGTCTGATGCCCAGCACAGGGCTTTGCCATGTTTCCATAATGATGCATTTATGGTCGCTACCACTCGCTCCCAGCAGACCAGGGAGAGTCCACACAGAAAGGGAAGCTAGGAATGTAATTTAAGACATTATTACCCGTTTACTTTATGTAAAGTTGACAACAACCAGCCAGGTCAACAAGATGCATGTCACCGTGTGACAAAACCAAAACAACACAGAATAAGAAACCCTTGATTAAAAACCTATAAACATGACATTCTCTGAACTAAAGCTAGCTAATGCTAATGTAACCTTAATATAGATTACATGACATTATATTACATGCCTGTGTCCGTACTTTTGACTTGGCAGTAGTTTGTGTTGCTCCACACACTTTTATTCAGATTTTTGACATATTTTTTATTTTTTAAATGTGTGATTTTATTGTTACTGCCAAAGTAATGTACTTAAATAAAAGGATGGATTTTTATCTTTTTTTGCATTTGGGTTCTGTGTTGTTTTTAAAAAAAGGAGAATTTTTAGAAGTCCTCAACCACATCTTAAACAGGGGTGCCAATAACTGTGGAGCTTTGGGGTTGGCCGTACAGATCTCAGAGAACGGACCCGTTCACATCTGCTTTCTGAGCTCCACCTGGTGTGGATAACAGGTGCCGTCTCACCTCTGGCATTGGCTGATTCTGGCTAAAAACAGATTCAGGGTGGGGTCTCTAACCCCCCAAGCACAGCTGAAAGATGGCCCTCAACAACAAGTTGTTTGCTACTAAAAGCAGTCCGATTGGTTCTATTCTGTCTGTGGGCTCCAGAAGACTAATTCTGAATATTTCTTCGTAGCCTAGCATTCATATTCCGATATCAACACACAGAAAAAATGATCTGTAAGCAGATCTCCTGGAACTAATCCAAAACGGACCTAAACTGGTCCAAAACTGACCAAAACTGACCCAAACAAACCCAAAACGGACCCAAACCAGTCCAAGAGAGGGCAAAATCGTTCGTAGTGCTGCTCTCAGTGGGAACTGTTGTTCTTCTGTAAATAACTCAGAGTCTGAGCTGCTCTGTTTAAAGCTGTCAGATACCTGCTGCTGTTGTTGGGATGTGGAGCTGTAGAAATAAAATGTAATTGAATTGAAGGGGAAGCTGAGTTCGTGTCTGCCTTGGCTGGTGATGCCAGCTGGAACTGAAAGCCCAAAACTAGTGTAGCAGAACTGATGATAAAACAGCAGATAGCAGATATGAGAACAGTTTGTTCAGCAAATGTAGTTTTGTTAACTGAAACATTGAAATGGAGGAGCAGCTTTGGGGATTATCAGAAAAACAAACGTTTTGTCCCAGAAGTGGAAACATTATTAACACATTAACACGGCCGGGGACTCGAATGTGGGGGGACATTTATACAATCAACTTAATTTCCAATATATGAAGCATGGCGTCAAAGTCATAGAGAAATATGTATAAATTATCAAAATTAAATCAAAATAATTAGTCTAAGTTGGTGTAGAGTTCCTGTCTAAAGTCAGAGTGAGTTAGGGCTGGTCCTGTATCTCAGTCTCCACCTCTACCGCCGTTCTTCAGTCTCTGAGCTAAAGGGCCAATAAAAACCCATTTTATTGGTTATTTCTTTATCATTTATTTCTTTTTCCATCTCTCTCCTAGCAGTCATTTGTTTTCTTGCTATGTGTAATTATCTGCAGTATTTATTAAGGATTATCGTAGGTTTTTGGAACCAATTCTAGGAATTACAGAGTATTCTGATGGAAGATTTGAACCAACATACCAATATTTAACATAGAAATCGCTCCTGGAACCAGTTAGACTCTGTAGAGGCTCTGCTATATTAAGAAATCGAAGAAATATTGAAAAGCTACAGACTAAATGAATCCAGGAGAGCCTGTCTGTGCCTGCCAGTGGGGAAGTTGACTTTACTACCTCTGAAACTGAGAGAAACCTTTGGAAACTCCATGCTCTGAGTCTTTCTCTGCTTAAGGGCCAGTTTCTGTTGTATTTATTCTCCGAGTCTGAATAAGCTTTTATTTTGTCACATCTTTTATTTTGAAAAATGACCGGATCCTCTGGGTTACATCTCGGTCACCTGAGCGCCCAAAATTTACCCCTCAAGTTAGAAAAATGAGTAAAAACAGAGGTGTTTGGAAAGTTTCTTTAGAAGGGAAAAGGCCCAAAGAAGAGACTCCAGAAAATAAAAGCTTTACCAGACCAAACCAGGAGTTCTACTGGAAACATGGACCTGTTCCCACAGACCCAGAACTCTCTGAGTCCTTTAGACAGAATCTAGATTTAGAATATATGCGGCCAGCGGCTCTCTGATGAGAACACCAAGCTTCAGACTGCTTCACATCCCCATTAAAAGACCAGACCCTGGAGGTTTTGGAGAGAAAAAGAAAGCTGGGTACCAGCACAGTGGTGGATTCACTTCCATTATCATATTCGGATATAAACACCCCCCCAAAATGGTGGGGGACCACTATAGTAAAAGGCCTGGGCAGCCAGACGAGGCCTGGCGCCTCTGTGGCCGGCTGCCAGCTTTCAGGGGGCTTAAAGGGAGCATCTCAGTCCCTGGCCTTAAAATATCTTCAGATTTCCCTGCAGGCATTAAGTGGGTTTTCCAAAGCTCAGCCCGCTCCCGTTTAGAAACGGCTCTGCAGGAGAGGCTCCAGGCTGCTGATGAGAGACTGAAACCATCCTAAATATGAAAAATGCAACATTCTGTAAGAGTTACTGCGATGGGACGCCAACTGATACCAACAGACTGTCCCAGATATTCCACTTTACATGAACGCTATCGTTCAGAAAGATACTTCTTCTCTTCTCCTCTCCAGTGTATCAAATGATCCAAAAGAGCTTCTAAAAAGAAGCTCAGTGTTCTGCACGCTCTCGTAAAATGTATTTTTTTCTGTTCACAAAGTTTTTATGAAGCAATTCCATGACTATGCATGTGATCCTTGACCTCAACCGAAAGAGAAGGTGAGCCACTTTAAGCAGAATTATTTGCTGAATTTGAAGCATTAACTGCATTCTGTGTTTCCTAGATTTGCAGTTTCCTTTATTTGTTCAACTAAAGACCCTGAAAATGGGCCTAATTTTAGAAATATTTGCATGTTGGTTCAAATCTTCCATCAGAATACTCTGTAATTCCTAGAATAGGTTCCAAAAACCTACGATAATCCTTAATAAATACTGCAAATAATTACACATAGCAAGAAAACTAATGACTTATAGAATAAAAAAGGGGTTTTATTGGCCCTTTAGCTCAGAGACTTTTCTACAGGAACTCTAAACTAACTTAGACTATTTATTTTGATTCAATTTTAATATTCTATATATATTTTTCTATGATGTCATGTTGAAAATTTACTTCGGGTGTGGAGTCAAATTTTTGATCAAATTTCACTCCTTATGTTGGAAATTCGTATGTTTAGGCATGGTAAACAGAGGCTCTGCTGTATTTCCTGTCATGCTTTGCCTTTTCAGTGGATCGATAGAGAATGGGATAAAGGTTTGTCCACATTCTTATAGGTTCAAATCTGACCAAACATCTCTGGCTCTGGTGCACAGTGAGGACATGAAGCTGACAAATTTAAGATGAATTTATAATCCCATCAAAACAAGCACGAGATCCAACAAACAGCTGAAAAAAGTGAGGAACCTGAGGAAGAGCAAAGCCCTGGATAAAACATGAATGCAAAAGATAAAGATAAGAGCTCCTGTGAGTGGAAGAGAGTCAGAGAGTGTTTCCTCCCTGAGCCCCCCCCATCAGACCAACAGGGAAACATTCCTGATGCTGTCAGATTCAAACATCTCTGACTACAGTTCATATGAGAAGAGGCTTTTCCTTTTGAACTCCGACCTCTGAACAGGCGGGACGGGTGCTGGTGCCCCCCCGGTCCGGTCCCTGTGCAACAGGGGGCTTTGGTCTGGCTCTGGCCCGGCGTTAGGTGAGCAGGCCTCCAGAGGCCCTCTCCCACAGGGCCAGCAGCTGGCTGCCGGCCAGAGGCTCCAGCTCCTGCAGGACACACCGGAGCAGGACTGAGTACGGAGAACCAGCACGTCCCATTCATCTGGACATGTTTAGCTCGTTTCTAAATCACCTGGACTATTCGGTACTACCCTATTTTCCGCTCTATAATGCACCTGCCCTTTAGCGTAGCTGCTTCAGGTGGATGCATAACGCATTATACTGGTTTCCCCAAAGGACCAACTCAGTTACAGACACAGTAAAGGTAACCCTAACCCTAAAGCTAACCCTAACCCTAATCCTAAAACTAACCCTAATGGTAACCCTAACCCTAATGCTAATCCTAAATCTAACCCTAAGGGTTACCCTAAAGCAAACCCTAAAGCTAACCGTGATCCTAAAGCTAACCCTGACCCAAAAGCTAACGCTAACCCTAATGCTAACCCTAACCCTAAAGCTAATATAAGTCATATTAGCATACGTTAGCCTGTCAGATCAGCATACGTTTAACTGTTGTATGACAACCTGACAGGCTAGCTGCTACGTCAGGGTGTGAAGTAGCAAACACAGAAAGCGAGGCCGTCTGTGTTTCAAGCAATTTAGCTTTAAATTCTGTTTACTTCTGACAAAAACATTTTGTTTATTACATTGCGCATAAATAAACTAGCCTACTTGACTTTCAGTATGCTTTTTCTGGTAAGTTTGTGCGTTCTTGTTTGAGCGGCTGCTAGCCTGCTAGCCTCTAGGCTAGTGTGTCCCTCTGAGCTCTGAACTCAGCGGCTGTCTGTTTCTGGGCTTCAAACTCTGGGAACACTGTAAAAAAGCAGCTCAGTGTCCCCACCTGTCCATCGCGGCTGATCTGGACCCTTTTGTTGTCGTTCCATGGGTTGAGGATGTGCTGGGTGCACTGGAAGGACAGGCTCTCCTTGTGGATCCACTCCACGCTGAAGAGCCCTCCGAGCCCCACGAAGCCCCAGTCATGGCAGCCCTCCTGACTGATGACTGATGTCATGCGAGCGTATCCCTGGAAACAAGAGAAACAATAGAAATAAGCCAATTTCAACATACAGGGTATCAAAATGTTCAGCTACGACTTTTGGTGTTGAAATCCTCTCAACTTTTTAAATCATTAAACTTTTTCTTCTTTTCTTCCTCATTGAAATGAATGGAGTCCAATGTCTGGCTCCCTCTGCTGGTCACTGGCATTTTAGCCCCTTCACATTTTTCCCATGAATCAATGTTGGAGGGTTTGACGGCAGTTTGAGAAGTCGCCGGTTCAAATCCCATCAAAATCGTCCACTCTTCAGTTCTATGTCTTTTCCAGCTTTTCTTTGGATTCTTCTGGTTCCTCCATTCGGCATTTCTTCTTCCAATCCTTTTGCCTTTCTTCTTCCACTCTTCAGTTCTTCGTCTTTTTCAGCTTTTCTTCTGGTTCCTCCCTTCAGCATTAGGCATTCTCACATGAACAGCCTATGCTAACTGGCTATTAGCTTCTGGTTCTGAGGACCCCATCTTACCTTCAACAGCAACCTGTGATTAGGCAGAATGCCATTAGTTGGACTCCGTTCATAGATGCCCCAGAACAGACCAAGATTCATTCAAAGTAAATGCTGACACTTTTTACCTGCCATGAGATAAACAGGAACATAAAAATTAACATGAAAATGCATGTTTTCATCTGTCAGTTACCTGAAAGTGTCCGGAACCCTGAACGGAGAAGATGAGGATGATGAGGCCGTTTCCCAGGAAGGCCTTGGTGAGTTTGGTCTCGTTGATTGGTGTAGTGGACCAGATGCCCTTCTGCTGAGAAATCTCTATGTTCCTGATGTTGCTGCTCTTCATAATGAAGTACCGGACAGAAGAGGAGGCAGCCTGTAGGGACGCTGGCTTCAGGACCTGCTGGGACCAATGGGAAGTGAGCCCTCACTCTGATCACCTGACCCAGTGCCTGCTCATTAAATCTGAATTTTGATTTCACAGAGAGAAGATTGTGGACACTAAAAGTAAACGTTGAATCTGATCCTAACTATAACAACAGCTAGTTCAAATAGTTCTAAAGAAAAGCTGGTCAGCTTTATGCTAGCTGCTATATGTTGTGATGCTAACGTCTGATTTACCATAAGGTATCAGACTGGTTCTGTTATTTACTGAATGGAGGAAAAGTTCCCTCCACTACTGATATAAATGCTGTTCTACCTATTAAACATTGTTGTTTAATTTGGTTTGTGTTTGTTAATAAAGTCTGACTGATTATCTGACTGTTAGCTGAGCTTCCCTTTAGCGTTGTTAAGGTTTTTGCCTTAATTCCAACATTCTCAAGAGGGTCCAGCGCTGTGATATCTTACTTGTGGCCGGAATAAATTCCATTCATTGCTAAAGATCTCTTCAGTTCATTTTCCAAGTTACCATAAGGACCGGGAGGAATTACGGCAAAAACCTTAACAGCGTAGCTGCTTCTGGTGGATGCTAACGCAGCCCCAGCCTCTACTGGAGCTTCTGCTCTATCAGCCTTATAACGCGGTGCGCCTTATTTATGGGAAATACGGTCCCATTTGACCCAGTAGTGTGGAGACCATTGATGAGACCTGGTCTGTGTGTGAATGAGTGATTGGGAGCAATCAGCAGTAGCATACATTAAATACCTTCCCAGAAGAGGGAGGACAGGGGGGGTCACGAGGGCTGTCCACAGCCACTGAGCAGGAGGAGCTGGAAGAAGAGGAGACATCATCAGAGGGCTGATTTACCACCAGCAGGCCCATGGCAGCATTCCACACAAAGCTAACAGCTGCCATGCTAACCAGGTGTACAGGGTGCAGAACGGCTAGATTTAAATACCACAAAGCAGGAGGCTTAGGCTCAGCACTGTCATGCCCACTAAATGTGGTCATAATACTAGCATAATATTACATAATACTACCATAATCAGACCTATGGGTGGTCCAAAAACAACTCTCATCTAACTTTTCTGGTACAGCAGAACCTCCACAGAGTCTAACTGGTTCCAGGAGCGACTTCTGTGTTAAATATTGGTGTGTTGGTTCAAATCTTCCATCAGAATACTCTGTAATTTCTAGAATTGGTTCCAAAAACCTACAATAACTCCTTAATAAATATGGCAGATAATTACACATAGCAAGAAAACAAATGACTTCTAGAAGAGATGGAAAAAGAAATAAATGATAAAGAAATAATCAATAAAAAGGGTTCTTATTGGCAGGTAGAGACTGAGATACAGGAAGTACCCTAACTTACTCTGACTTTACTACCTGAACTTTAAACTAACTAAGATTATTTATTTTCATATTTTTTTCTATGACTTTGAGGTTGTCACACAGCGGTGAGGTCAAGTTGGGTTTGGTCCTGTCTCCATGGTTGTCTTGTCATTTCCTATTTTATTTTGAAAAGTTTCAGGTCACTTGCACGTCTCTATGCTTGAACCTCTCCCTATTAATCCTGGCCTCGAATCTCCACCTTCTTTTTCCTCGTATGAGCGGTATGAGCAGTTTTTTCATCCTCTTTCTCAGTATTATTTGGTAATTTATTAGCCTCGATTTTGAGTGACTGTTATTTTTTACTTCTCGCCTTCCACTCCCTGCCAGTGCGTCTTTGTTTAATTAAATCCAAATTTTTGCCCAAATCTCTGCGTCCTGTTTTGAGGACAGACGGGTTTATTTCGGGTGTCAAGTCGAATATTTGATCGAATTTCACTTCGTATGTTGGAAAATTTGTCCGTTTATGTGATTGTAAGTAGAGGTTCTGCTGTACTTAGCCCCATTACAGGTTAAATATCATCAGGCAGCGTGTTACTTGTCACTGGAGCTGTTGGTGGGGATCTGCAGGCTGCTCCTGGAGCCCCGCCCGGAGGACCGGGGCCCCTCCTCTGACGACATGGGCCGGGGGCGCTGGCCGATCCCTGTAGGCTGCAGCAGACCTGCCTCCTGCTCTTCTGCTCCCAAAACCTAAAACAAACAGGTTTGAACTCTAGCTGTTAAGCAAAGAAACCATTTCTAAAAGGGAGAAAGACAAAGGAGGGAGCAGTGACTTACAGACACCAGGGTCTGGATGATGGACTCGTCCCGCTGAGACCAGGGTTTGGAGGGACAGCGGATCCTCTTTGTGAACAAATTTTGCCATTTTTGCCTCAGTTCAAACAACAGAGCTGCACCCTGACAAGAGAGAGAGAGGGAGAGAGAGAGAGAGAGAGAGCATGAATCCAGAAGAGGAGGCTTCACATAACAGTTCCATGGAGACAAATACGCAAATACGTGTAAGGATGAGTTACAAATCCCAAAACTGTTTTTTACTTTGACAGTTAGAATGTTTTAAAAATACATTTTTTAAAAGACTATTAATTTTTAGCATGCGTTTTTGAGTTTTAACAGTTGTATGACCAGTTGATTCCCACATTTCCCTCCCTGGTTCAGCCTGTGGATTTCAGGCTGGTGTTCAGACATGCTACTATAACTATCCAGTGAGTCAAAGCCATGCTCCCCTCACCTCTTTCTCCAGCTGGAAGACAAGCCAGTCATCTATCCTCATCTCAGCCAGGTCCTCTGAATCACTGTCGCTGGTGTCATCTGGAGGGCTGTCTGGAGGGAAAGCAAACACTCTCCATCAGATGATGCTCTGATCAGATCAATAACAGGACAAAAACTGTTCTTCAACAATGAGTGACCTCCAGTTATTCCACTGCTAATGTCACAGCTAGTGTCGTGAAAGTTTTGGTTGATTAGACTTTTTAAAAATTCAATTCAATATAGCATAAAATGGGACGGTCAAGGGAGTATAAAAATAACTTATAAGTGATTTAACAGAGCTCAGTAGAGACTCTTAAGCATCCCGTTTCCAGATCCGCTCACACAGCAGCTTACCATTGGTCCTCTGTGGCCCCCCGTCCAGGAGGGCGGGGCAGGGCAGCTTGGAGCTCCCTCCAAAGATGGCGATGGTGATGGAAGTGACCAGGGAACAACAGCGGACGCTGGCCATCCTGTGGCCTCGGCTCATCTCGTCATAGATCAGCCAGTCTGTGGGGAGGGCCTGGGCCGATTTGGGCTGGGTGCTCTACACAGAAGGCACACACACACTTAGATTCTTTCTTTGGCTCACTTTCAGTCTACTGAAAAGCAAACAAACTTGACAACAATGTTAGGTTTCCAAAGCAGATGAACCTTTATGGGTCCTGGAGCATTACTAACCATTATTTACCAACCAGTGTGTGTTATTCGGACTCCCCTAACTCCGCTAGTTGTTATCAGAGTAAATCCCTTTTCAACAGCAGTCTGACAACTAAGGAAGTAAGGACCTGAGGGGGACAGCAGAGTGTGGAGAGGGTTGCTCACCTCCTTGAGCTGGCTGAGGATGGAGGTGGGATGGAAGTGGATCTTCTTCTCTCTGTAGCTGGAGAGCAGAGAGCTCTCCTTGTTGATATGGGCCAGGTTTGGATACATGCCAGCCACCAGAGCAGCTTTGACCACCGCCCAGTTTTCAGAGTTCAGGTTGACATCACGGATGTCACTGCCCCCCCGGGCCCGCACAAAGCCTGCCAGACGCCAAGAGAAAGGATCAGAATTCCTCCCCATTCGGCTCATTTCACCGTGATGGATATTTCAAACTGATCATTTAAATTATAACACTCTTTAGAAACAATATGGACAAAAAACTGTAGGATACTGTAAATCAAGCTATTTCAATTTGCTCAGTTGTGTTTGTTACATTTAATAATCAGTGAATGTATCTATCTCTACCCGCCTAAAAGAGATTGGGAATAAACCGAACCTGGGAAAAACATTACTATTACACAGAGGATGGTGGAGAAACCAATTTGGGAAAGAAAAGACAGGAAAGATGGGATAAACTGATACACAGGATAAGTTTAAGCCTGAAACTTTGGCGACCCCCATGCAGTACCTCCCCGGACCCCCCCCACCTCCGCTCTTCATGCTGGCTCTCAGAAAAACCTCTGGTAGAGGACAAATGAGAGGTAGAAGGCCTAAAAGCAGAACTGACCAATAGCCCGGAGCTGTCCCAGTAGCTGCGTCCTCATGCCCAGGATCATGTCCATGGTGGCCTGGGACAGGAAGTTCTTCTCACAGAAGGATCTCTCCCAGCCGTCACTACGGGCCTTCTGCCATGCCTGTTGGAGGAAAGGACACATACATACACAGGAGTAGTGAGAGGGAGACCCTCAGATATTTCCTGTCATGAGCTTGGCTCTACAAACTGAAGGCCTGAGCTCATTTCTAATTTTCCTGCTTACATTTTCAATAAAAACACTTAAATATGAGCCAATTTGTCCCCAAAAAACCTGCAGTCGAGAGAGTAAATCATTGTGTTAAACTAATAAACAGATTTCTACATGAGCAGGGTTCGAAATAACGATCAACCTTTATTGTCCAGGCTGTTAGCCCGTTGTGCGCTCAGCTCCGTGGGGCAGGACGGGTTGGAAAATAACGTTTTTATGTCAAATATATGATAAATAAACAGGGAATAAACAAAAAAACAAAACAAAAATTTTTTTGTTTGAAATCCATCGTCCCGCCATGTTATCTTTTGGCCTATTTTGGACTAATTTGGGTCAGTTTTGGGTAAGTTCGGGTCAGTTTTGGACAGGTTTTGGACCGGTTTAGCCCCCTTTTGGACTGGTTTGTGTTAGTTTTGGGTGAGTTTTGGGTTGGTTTGGGTGAGTTTTGGGTTAGTTTAGGTCCGTTTTAGGTAGGCTTAGATCCGTTTTGGGTTAGTTAAGGTCAGTTTTGGGTTAGTTTGGGTCAGTTCTGGTCAGGCTAGGAGCAACGTTTGGAAACATCGCACAGTGTACGCCGGCTTTAGACCCCACCAGAGGCCCACAAACAAAGCAGGGTGAGCGTGCACGCACCTGGAAGGCTCTGAGCAGCGCCATGTGGTCGCTGAAGGTGTTGGACGTGAAGCGCTTGCGGCAGCTCAAAGCAGCTCTCTTCTGAGCGCTCATGGAGGGGAGCACGAAGGGGTCGCGGTAGGCCAGGGTGCAGGCGATGGTGAGGATGGGGTCAAGACACTTGAGGACCACGGCACAGAGCACCATCTTCCCCAGGTGGGGCTCCACAGGGAGATCAGCCAGGTGGTAGCCCAAATCCGTCAGGTCTTCAAACGGATCCAGAGCATCTATTGTCTACAGAGAGGGGTGGGAGGGGTTTATAAGACACAAGGATTCAGCCTGTATGTGGAGCTGAGAGAGGTCACCTTTAGTATTTGGACTGCACTCTTTATGGAATGTGCTGGAGGAGGCTGTGGAGCTTTGGACAAAAACTCAGCAACTGGACAGGAAGAGGGAGCCAAGAGTTTGGTCTGAAGACACAGCTCCTGAAACCCAGAACAGGAAGTGACGGATGCTTGTTAACAGACGTCAAACAGTATTTTGAGCCAGATTAAAGGTCATCAGCATATAGAGAGCAGAGGGGCCATCAGCATTAAGGTGCATGAAGCCATCATTGGAACTAAAAGCCAGTAAGTAAGTAAGTCGGTCAGTAATTAAGTAAATCAGTCAGTAAATAAGTAAGTAAATAAGTCAGTAAGTAAGTAAGTCAGTCAGTAAGTCAGTAAGTAAGTAA